TTTAGTGAATACAAAAAGCATGCAAATGCTTTATGTGAAGTTAATTTTTAAAATACGGTGTTTCTCAGCATTTGCATAAACTATGGGATTTCTTATTGCTATTCCAATTGTCCATTCATTGAATATTGATTGGCAAATCACTGATAGCTATAGATAATTCTTTCTTAACCCCCAAGTCAATGTTTTAAATTTATTTATTTTATGGATTTATTTGGATTTCAAATTCAAATAGTATGGAATTTATTTTTCTTTAAATAATACTACTCTTTTCTAATTTGTGGGAAACAATTTAATCAAAAGCATAAACACCTACCAGGTTTTTCCTACCTCTCATTTCCCTCCAGGCTCTTCCAAAAGGCCTACTTATACAAGACTGCATTATGGACCTAATTGGTGGTTCGTTAAGTTATACACTGGCTAAACAATATGAAATAGATATTAAAATATAAATCTGATCTAATAAATAAATACATAACTGTTTAATTTGTAGGAAACTACAAAATTATTTGGATTCCTGGATCATTAAAATTGTAATTATAATGAATAAAAATGTATATAAGAAACGTTAAAACCAACTAATATTTACTGATATCTTCCTATGTAACAGTGAATACTAGGAATGTGTTGCATGTTACTTCATTTATAAAAAATATAGCATTTATGGATTTTTGTGTGTAATTTCACCATGCACAAAAGACGTGAGACATGTATTAATTGCGAAGTCACTGCATAAATATCTGACTCCTAACAGGATGTGAGGCTGATGTGTGGTGAGGGCCCAGACAGTTGGCTCAGCCTCCATATTTCAGTGGGATTTACTGGCTGTCTAGTTGTCATGAAATACACAGTAATTTTTCTTTTTTATTATTGATTTTTGTGAAAAGGACTTTAAAAAGAAAGCCAAATGCTTTTTATTGCATTTTATAGAATAAATTTCATACTGGAGTGCTATTCAGCAATTTGAGAATTTGTGAAGATCTTAAAATCTCCTTTACTATGTCTCAGATGGTCACTGAGAGAAATCTAAGTGAATCCATTATGACATATAAGAGCATACTTTGTCTTAAAGCTTGAAGAATTAAAGCACTCCCCCATAAAATAAACTGCTATAAATACAAAGCTAAAATAAAGCCTTTCCTCTAAGGTTTAAGCATAAGGGAAGCAGGACAAGCTAGCTCTGAGAGCGTGGTTTGCTCTTTCCTGCAGCATATATCTAAAAGCCATTTATTTGCCTTTCACAGTTCCTGCGACGTAATGTGAGGATTTTCTCATCAATTCCCTTCCTGGAGGCTAAATGAACATGTACATAGTATTTCCAATAAAACTAATGAGATCTAGTCCTTCTTGGCTGCAGACTATTTTTTCTACTCATTTAAGAAATAATTTAATATCACATTATGCTTCCCCTTTGCCCTCCTTTCCTTAGATTCGGAGATTCCCTCCCAAATTCATTTTTGAACTATGATTTAGTAACTTCCGCATAGCTAAAATAACATTAACTTTTCCCTTTACTCACTCAGCTGCATGTTCCCAGTACAGATGCTCATTTAGAATCATGATTAATAGTTGTGATTCACATAGAAAGTCAGGTGGTCCTCTGCTTTTCAAAACCTAGCTGTATCACTGTACTTCCTCACTTTCAAACTGCAGCCCCAGAATATACCGGAGATGCCAAAAAAAATATATAAAGTGGACACTTTGGTCAGCATTGCTCAAGCAGTAGTTCCCCGTAATCAGAAGTGTCTGGAAGCTGATGATAACCACTTTGAGCACCTCTTGTAATTGTATAAGTCAAACGTGACTTGTATTAATCTTTTGAGACTGGTGTATATTGAGTATTACAATTTTAATAGTTTTTCCCTTTCTTAAAATGTGTATATGGTTTTTTGGGGGGGCACCCTCTGTATTTGATGGACAGGTAAAGTATGCTTGGCTGTAATCATGCTGTATAAACTTGCCTAATCCATACTTCCTTTCTTTTTATTATGTGAATATATATTAATAGCTACAGCATCAATGATTCCCCCAAGTCTCTGGGACAATCCACAGAGAACAAAGATGGCTAGAATGTAATTGAAAAGGTTAAAAAAAAGGATGCTCTGTCTCCTTTACCTAGAAGATAAAGCCAAGTATGTGGCAAAGTTCTGTCTGGAGGAGATTTCTGCACAGAATTCTTTGTTAAATCTGTTTATAGGCCTATAAGGAAGATGACTGGAGAAAATATGTCAGATTCTTACTAACCATGTCTTATTTTAAATAAACTACTAATTCACTAGTTTGTGGTGAATTTTAACTCATTATCTATGGTAAGGATTTTGAGTATTTGGCCTTAAAGCATTATTAGGAAAAAATTTAAATGCCTTGCCTTATCTTAACTTGAATTTTTAAAGTTGCTGTTGTTGTTGTTGTTGTTGTAGTTTGCTTACAAAATATATATACAATCATTGTAGAACATTTAGAAATTAAGGAAAATATAAAGCACTAGAAATCCATAATCCCATTTACCCAATGTATATGATTGGCTCCTGCCCCAGAGTTGAAAAAGTAGGATTCATGTAATATACCTAAAGCAATGTCACTTTATTTCCCACTGTCCTTTCAAAACGTATCTGGAGAGGAACGTTCTTCTCCAAACACCATAAGGAGACTTCTGATTATTGGTAATACAAAGTGCAATTTGAATCATTGTCATAAGTTAATAATTAGAAGACCTAGTTTTCATATTGTGATGAAAACACTCTACCCTAGATTTCAATTGTCAGCTTGCCCCTCCACCAGATCAGGTCTATTGCTGGAGAAGGAGTGAACTCTATTTTATTTCCTTACCCATGCACTAATGATACTTTCTAGAAATTGAAAATAATAGTCCCTACCTCAGTAATAGAGTTAGTGTGAAAATTAATGTGATAACACACAAAAAGTGCTTTGAAAATATCTAGCCCATATTACTAACAATATTACCATGGAAAACACACATGTACTTTTTTCTACTCACAACTCTGAGGACACAGGCCAATCCCAAAACAGACACTCCTTTTCTGTTCATTTATTAGATGCTAAGCAAACCTATCTCTTACCTTCAGAATTCTTAGGTGAGTCAGACACGAGCCTACCATGTCTCCCATGTTACAGAGGACATACATTAAGCACTCCATGTGGTTCCATTGAAGCCTCAGTAAAGAGGCTTGCAATGGAATTTAAAATACATTTATACAAAATTCCTATTCATAAAATCCTTGTTCCCCAATCTCCAAATATTTTATACCACACATATGAATAAGGGGTTTAATAATAGTCCAGAATGTTTACAACTATTTTCTTTGAAATTTAGGTGTTACATAGCTCACTTTGAAATAACCTACTCTTATTGTTATATTAGAATATCAGTTACAAACTCCAATTTAACATCATCATTATATATCTATCCGTCTGTCTGTCTATCTACAAATCTATTCCACCTACACCACACACACATACACATTAAAGACTCAGGATCTAAGATGAGACTGGGTATAAATTCTGGTTGTTTTATATAAGTAGCTGTTCATCTTTGAGCGAGTTACTTATCCTGTTTCTGCTTTAGTTACATAACCCATAAATAGAAAAGAGTAGTCTCTACCTTAACAATACAGTTATTGTGAAGATTGATGTGATAACATATAAAAAGTGTTTAGAAAAACATCTAGCCCATACTACTAACAATTAACTTTATAAGTAACCATAATATAATCATTATTATTATAATTATTATAAATGTCCTCTTTATAACTTGCTTGACTTATGAGGATTTCCACATCATTAAATATTCTGTTTCACATTGCAATTGTTTTATAGTATTCAGCTGTACAAATGTAGCATAATTTTCAATACTTAACTGGACATATATGTAATTTCTAATATTTTGTCACATCATTGGCCATCATTATGTTTATCAGCTCTGGGTTTTTTTTCCCCCCTTTAGAATATATTGATTGAACTGAAATTACTGGTCAACATGTGCTTATTTACGGCATTTAATACATGTTGACAAATTGTCCTGCACAAATTGATATCACTATGTATTTTCATGGCTATCTTAAAATTCTGGCCAGTTATCAACTATCAATTGATTTAAGTATAATGGCATCCTTGAAAGACAATGAAAAACGGGCATTGGATATTCTGTTATCTCCTTTAAGCATGTGCCAACAGATTTCTGGAAAATTTTTCGGGCTTGGGGATTAGCAAACCTAGGGTTGGATGAGGAGAAATCCAATACATCTTCAGAACCAGAGTTCCAGTGACATAAAAACACTGACCATTTTTCTTAAAAGAAAAAAAAAATGAAATTAGAATGAGTGGTAGTGGTTGTCTATTGTGGTGGCTCATTATGTGATACTTAGATCAAACTGCTTCAATTATGTAAATGAATCTAGTGGATGAGTGTTAATACACTGCTGTTTAAATAAAATAAATCAAAATTCTGCTTCTTCTTAGCATATTATAGTTTAATTAAATTCCTGAGTACAACTATGAAGTTATACAGTTGACAAAATCAATCACTAAGGAGTGTAAATCATCTAGATACTAGTCTAACATAAAGCACATAGCGATTAGTCAGTTTTAATAAGAGAAGCTTCAAATATCTTATAAGAAGAGGACACTGTGGTTCTCATTTTTAGCATTCAATAAGTATTATTGTGAGGAGTATGCCAATTTTATCAAGGTTCCACAAAGTGACCAATATCTGTCTTAAGGTATCTCCTGTCTTATGTAATAAGGACATCAATTTATCTTTCTTGAGACACTCTGCCTCTTTCTCTCTCTCTCTCTCTCTCTCTCTCTCTCTCTCTNTCTCTCTCTCTCTCTCTCTCTCTCTCTCTCTCTCTCTCTCTCTCTCTCTCACACACACACACACACACACACACACACACACACACTCCATGCTCACAGAGGCATATAACTCCAACAAAGCAAAACAAAATATTCATCTCCACACCAAAAACAGCCATTGGACCAACCTTATAAAGTAGTGGCAATTTTCCCAGTTTCAGGAGTGCAATCTGGCTTGTTATATTTTTCATTTTTTTAATTCTTTTTAAATCATCTGCATTTCCATAACTCACATCAATGAGTTCAGCCTGAAAGAAAACACAAAGACAAATGAAGCTTTGTAGGAGGAATGATAGCAGATTGCTCATTTGGTATGACAAAAGCATTTATAGTAATTTTAAATGTTCAAAGGAGAAATAATTCTGTGTCTTACCCTGTCCCAATCACCACAAACATGACCTTTCTGTTTCTATCAGGTGCAACAATTATTGTGGTCACTGGAGAAAAAGTTTGAAAGTCATTTTTGCTTTGTCCTCTCCCTTCTAACCAAGTTACAAAACCAGCTCATGACTCTAGCAAACCACTGAGTTTATTATATTCTACATTTATATTTCTGGGATTTGAATCACTTTATAAAACACTGCAAGATTAATTTCCTTAAGGTTCAACTACAATCAAACCATCCTCAGGCTAGAGCCATTCAAAGATTCTCTATTGTTATCCAAATTAAGCAAATCCCATCATGTCCTTTGAGGTTTTGCATTAAAAATCAGTAATTACAGAAGTCTCAAAGTTCTGATGGTTTGACAGTTGATAATAAAAATGTATCTACTGCCTTCAAAGGATGCCTCTGAACCAGAGCCTTTCTGAAAGTCTTTCCTACTTACCCTCAAGAAAGCTGAAAATCACAGCTGCAAGAAAGCACATTGAATTTTTCTTAGACACGAATCAATATATAATGATATAATAAAATGTCAAGCCATTTCTTTCCACACATTCTTGGTGCTACAATGAACCTCTTTTTATTGTGTGTATTCTGTCACACTAGAAAATCATCCACTCAGCTGGTTGGAGTACTATGTTTAATTTACATCCAAATACCAAGGATTAAGTCACATCTGACTACTCCCTTTGGGAAATGTCAAATGAGCAGGAACTTAGGTACCTGTTGAACTATTCACTTCATGTGCACCATTTTTTCTATTGTGGGCTTGCCTGACACATAGGAGAGAGTAACGGGAGAGGTGCAGAGTGAAATGAAACTAGTTCTACTTTGTTGTACACATTATTATTATTATTATTATTATTATTATTATTATTATTATTATTATATTATTATTATTAGTTTTACCAGAGAGACATATACAAAAGTCCCCACACTAATTTTTATTTAAATTCTGTATGCTAATTTTAAAGTAGGAACAAAGAACTTAAAACAACAGCAACAATTCAGACAGAAAGCCAATTATTTCATATTTTGTTAAAAAGAAAAGTTTTGGGATTGCAACAGAGAGTGGCAGGCCATATAGAAATAGCTGAGGAGGATGAACACACTTTGGAAATGAATATGAAGCCTTAAAATACAAGTATCTTCTATGTATGATAAAATATGTGATTATAGGGAATCATAAACCAATTAGGAGTGGCTAAAAATCAAAATATTAAAAAGTGACATTTTATTAAATCAGTGGTTCTGATTCCACACAAAAATGAATAAATATCCTGAGCAGAAGCAACAGAAGACAGGAATTAATAGAATCATCGTTTCCTATAGTCAGTTAAATAAAATAAATAGGACAATAGTAGAAAGTAACTAGGTCAAAGAAGTGTCGTTGGGGTCATCTACGTGTGGGTGGCCTGGGGCTCCACGGTGAGAAACAATCCAGACCCACGTTTCCCTTCTACCTCAAAGTAGCAAAAAATATTCTTGCTTATGAAATGATAGATGCTTTGAAATTTTTTCAGACTTGACATTTTCAACCAAATCAATCACTGAATCCTCCTAGTTCCTCTCTAAGACACATTTTGAATTTACAGAATGTTTGAAAAACCTGCTTTGACTAAAACAGTAATTTTCTACTCAAAATTAGAAATGGTAAACCCAAGAATTTCTCATACTGACAAAACACATAATCAGTAGTACCATTCATCTCAATACAAGTTTTACTTTAGACATTTACTATCTTATATAACCTAGCTTTTGAATATTGTTCAAAATAAATTGTTTTACTTCTTAAAAACACATAAAGTCAAATGATCTCCCATATTTACCTTTGTCCTTTCTAACAAGGGTGAGCATATTAGTGTTTATGAAGAACTCAAAATTCAGCGATCGTTAGAATTTTATCAGTACTTCTTTTTCAGGTTCGTTCAAGGGCTTGTCATCATGGACATTATCATGAAAACCACAATGCATTGAAACATGAAAACCAATGCCATGTCCTCCCACTCCTGTGGTCGATATCACTAATCAATCAGACTTTTTCAAACTCCTTGTAACAATGGTCTAGCTAATCAAGACCAATTTGAGATTAGCATAAACAGGGAGATATACAAAAATTTTAATATTTTAATATTAAAGAATTATTCAATTAAATAACTAATGTTTAAACTAGTATTTTGTTATTTACAATATTCAATTACTGGGACAGCACAAGTACTAATCAGTTAAAATAGACTCCCAACCCACCACAAGTGTACGAGAATAGTGCAGCCGAATTGAATTCAGCATTAAGCATGAGAAACACAATCCTTTTTTTCTTTTGGTCTGGTTTAAACAAGCAGATAAAGGGGTGGCTTGTCAATTTATCATTTTTTTATTGTAATATACACACTTGCTGAAAAAATATTAACTACAATGACATATTAAACCATGTTTTGATAGCAGAATAACAAAGGTAAGCCAGAGTTGTTACTTGTCTTGGCATGCGGTAATTAACATATTTGCAAGATGTTTTATCACCTAACATATTACACACATCCATCTAAATGATAATACAATTAAGTTAAAATGATTGTGGTATAGAAATTTAACCAAAGTGCAGTTCTGTCAGAATTATATTTCCATATTTTAATTCTATAGTCTCCAAAGTCAATAGACAAAATCATGTATGTTTAGAATAAGATTGCATACAAGATTATAAAAATTCAGATTGTCAGGAAGAAAGATATCTTTAAGTTGTCCCAAATTAACAAATAGAGGATATTTATATACTCACTTGTATTATTTGGCCAACATTTAAAAATAACAATCAGCCAGAGTATCTGTCCTGTTAGCCATTTATATTAAAGTCACTTTAAAAGCTGTAACTGTATCTTAAAAAAAAAAAAAGAAATCATAACATACATGTATAGAGATAGGAGAAAAACCTGGAGAAAACAGAATTGTGCAAGTCCAAGGAAGAGAGGGTATTAAAGATAGAATTTTTTATTTTTTATTTTTTCTCCAACAAAATGGTTCAGATTATATTTTAGTTTCTGAAGGTATGGAGGGAAGTGAGTTACAAAAAAAAAAAAAAGAAAGACCTTCTGTGCTTACTTTATCTTGTGGGGTGTTGCCAATAAAAAGTAAATAAAGGCATTAACAGTTCAGAAGATTTCCAATTATGCTATGCCTTAATTACAATAAAAAAAGGAATAATAGAGAGTGATGCAGAATTACATTAATAAGGAAGTCAAGAAAGGCATTGCTAAGGGGATCACATCCAAATAATGAGCCAAGCACTAAACTGGGGGAATTTTGTAGGCTTAGGGGAATGCAAACTCCCTAAGAGAAGGAAGGCCTCTATTAAATGAACATAGATATTGAATATGTTAAGATGTAAAACATGACTACTGGATTCTGAAATAAGAAGTTATTGATTTCTGTATAGGGGTGGGGATTAGATGAGAAGGGAATTTTAGGAAACTTATTAATCAATTTGAGCAAGAGTTAGGTGGTACTCCATGGAAGTAACAGTTAGCTGGTGGATGTGTAGCTGAAAGAGGCGATAGTGTATTGTTTGGTTAGTCAGCTTTTACCAAAAAGAATGTTTAGACAAAAAGGTGAATGCTTATAGATTGAAAAGATTTAGCCCCATTTGGTCTACACATCCTAGAAGCAAAAGAAGTATAGAGAAATTGGATCCAGATTATTCTTTCTCAAAATTAGTATATAATAAATGAGTGTAATAGTGATTAATCTTACTCCATTTATATTTCCATGCATATCGGCAATGGCTGATTACGAGAATGCCTGTAACTATCACTTGCCCTATGTTTACCCTATTTACTCTGCTACCCTATAGTAAATTAGAAATAAGACTCTTTCAAAAACATTGATAACAGTGGCAGTGCTGATTAACTGCTCCCAAGATAAGCATCCTGGGATGACTCAGTTATCTCTCCTGGGTGAGGCTGGGGGGCAAGGGGGAAACGGGGTCAATCTCTTGAAAGTCTAGACAGGGAGCTGGTGGATATGTCCCAGTTATTTGAGGACAAGAATGGTAGTTCAGCTGATACTTTGCAAAATGTTCCAGGAGCCAGATATATCTTAGAAAAGTATATGTCTGACAGATAATTTGAGGAAATGCTTGAATGTACTTCTTGGTCTTCCATTAACTCTGTCTAGAAGGTAAACTGTCTGACCATGGAACTTTCCCTTTCAGAAAGAAACTGGAATGCATTCTTATGTCCTACCCAGCAACATCATTCTTGGTCCTGTCCAACCCACCCGGATATGGAGACCATGCTGTAACTAGCATACCAATCTCTGGCTGAGGGCTGAGTGCTATGAAGTTGTATGCTAGCAAAACTAATCTCTGGGACAAAAAAAAACAAAAAAAAACAAAGCAAACAAACAAACAAAAATGCTGATGTGTAGTATTTGACAATTTCTGTGGTTTAAATATCAGACCAGAGTTAGAAAGATTCACAGAATCAACTCACTAGCGGAGAGAAGCTGGCCTGAGCCAATCCAGCATGCCACTGAGATACTTGCACCTGGGCTTTAACGTGGTAGGAAAATGCATTATTCAGGGCTTCACTACGTGGCTGAAAACAGAAATAGGTATGCATTAGAGATATAGGTTGAAGTTTTTGCCTAGGCCTTGACAATGTGGAAAAAGCCAAAAAGCAGTGGAAGGCAAGAGGTAGGCAACAGCAAGGGAGAGGTATGGGAAAGAGAAGGCTCAGAGGGAACTCCAACTGTTAGAAAACTGGACATTTAATATAGGGCCCGTGTGTGTGTGTGTGTGTGTGTGTGTGTGTGTGTGTGTGTGTGTGCGCGCGCGCGCGTTTGTGTCCAAGTACATGTGCAAGTGTATATTAA